AGAGATTTTAATGTTACCTATTACTGTAAATGCTAGATAACCTAAAAAAGTGTGAAATTTTAAACAAGTTGTTCAATAATATTTTAAACTGTCTTACTGATACTTGAATAGTTAGCACAGTTGCATAAAACACATAAACCCTATAAAGATCGGTCATTAAGTGATAAGGGTATTTTGTTTGTCCTCAAAAGCAAGCATTTTGTGCTTTTTATCTATTAAAAATAGAAAATAAAATGTGTATATTATCAACACTCATTTTTAGGTACAAGTAATGAAATCCATTTACCTCATTTGAAATTGCTTTTCATGTTTCTGTGGAGCTTTATATAAAGTTGCTTTGAAACAGATTTCCTTGAAAACTGTTTATTTTTCCTATTTGCTAATTATATGTGTCTTTCACTGTGAGAAAAAATATAGGTATCAGACAAATGAATCAGAGTTTTTTGCTCAGTAATAATTTTTCTCTCATTTGCAGTGTCTAACTTGTTTACCATTAGTTTAATCATTACTGTATAGAAGAGAATGCTCTTTTTTCCAAATGTGCATGAAATACTCCAGTTGTTCTTTCTTGCAGTTTTATAACACTTTCACATGATTAACGTTGACCTTGATTTCAAGTCATGTTCAGAGAGACCTTTTTGTTTTAATGTAATTAAGTTGGAATGTACAATCAGCTGATGTCTCAGAACTCTGTGGAACACTATTACATTTAGAAAATGCTTTCTTTAACTTTGCACTAGGCGGAATTTCAGTAAACACACTCCCTTATACCTCTTACGCCCTATTAAAGAAATATTGCAGCAGCACTTACAAGGAAATCAAAGATGCCATGTGCATATGTTGAAGATAGCTAGAACAAAAGCATGTTACTTCTGTCAAGTGGAGCCTTAATTGATAAACCTTTGAAATGTCCACCGAGATTGTTTCTGTCTGTATTAATCTCCTAGTTAGGAGTTAATAATACTCAGTACTAGTATAGTACAATACACTATACTGTATGCGTTCTGCAATTATGTGTACTGTTCCATTGTTATCACTTTCCCTGGCAGATTTTGACCCATGCCAACCATAGTTTTCCCAGATGATGCCTGGACATGATTCATGGAGTAGGACAGTGCATAAGTAGTGTGGTGACTTCCTTCAGAGGGAACGGATGTAAGCCATGCTGTGTCGGTTTCTTTTCCCAAGTAACAAATGGTAGGATGAGAGGAATGGCCTCAAGTTGTGCCAGGAGAGGTTTGGATTGGATATTAGGGAAAATTTCTTCCCTGAAAGGTTTGTCAAGCACTGGAACAGGCTGCCTAGGGAAGTGATTGGGTCACCATCCATGGAGGTATTTAAATGACATATACAGGGTGCTTAGGGGACATGGTTTAGTGGTGGAGTTGGCAGTAGACTCAGTGATCTTAAGGGTCTTTTCCAATGTAGTGATTTTGGGATTCTGTGATTCATTTTCTCTTAAGCTTTTAAAATAAAGGAGAAGGTCCCTGTCCCATTTGACTTATAGTGTGAAAAGGAATCTTGGATTCTGCCTCCCAAATGATCCCTTCCATATGCATTTTGTTTTTCCTAGCTCCTTCAGTGTTTTCAAAGTATCTGTTTTTGTTGTTTATGGCCAAAACTATCCAGACTTGTGAGTCACAGTGAAGAGATCACTGGCACCAAACTGTGTTTTGTACTCCTGCCAGATAGTCTACCTCAGGCTCACTGGTGCTTTCATTCTTCCAGTCATGTCTTTCTGTAGCTCATCTGTAAAAGTAGTAATATCTTTTTTTTTTAAAAAAAAAAAGTTGGTTTTTTTTTTTTTTTTTTAAATCCATGTCTCTTATTTGATTCTTGCTCTTTTGTCATAAATAAAAGTCCTCTCTTGGAAATATGATATTATACTTTGTGATAAAATATTATTATGCTTTGCTTATGCATTCATATTTACCTTGACTCCTGTTTGCTATATGCCATAGCTTCAACTTTTAGCCCGTGTTTTTACTCACAATCAGCATCTTGGCAAGAAGTACAGAAGATATAAAAAGTGTTATTTTGTTATGTACATAAGAGGTATGTAGGTATAGAGAATATTATTTTGTACAAATCAATGAATAGACTCCTGAATGAGTTCTCAAAATATATGTGTTTCCCAATGAAAAGGGAGGAACAAAATGTGAGTTATGAGAGATCTTAAATTATCTGGAGGAAAAAGCAATATGCTGTATATATATTTCAAGTTTCAAAATTGAAGCCTTTACACTATCTGCACTTAGAGGCCTGGCTTTATTTGTTAGCAGATAATATTATGTCAAAGCAATGTTTAGGTCTCCTCAGCAGCTGTTGTATTCATACTAAATTATGTCAGATTTAATCTTCAATATATTCAACAAGAGCACGCAGTTGTGCTGACAAACATAAAATCATTTTCAGTTAAATATGTTCCATCACAAACCATTTGGACACATTGCCTCTCTGAAGAATGACAAAGTCGGTGTGCTAGTTCAGCTTTATAATTCCTACTGCCTGTTGAATTCCCATATTATATCCAAACATCCCAGCAGAAGACTGACTCAATAGGTATCCTGCTGGAACGTTGCAGTAGCAGAAGTAGACAGTGTGAGGCATTTTCTCAAGGGTATTACTTTCACAATCATTTTAATTGCACATGCTTGATTCACCATGCTTGCGTATTCATTTGTACTTGTTCAAAGGGAATGTAATTTAATTTTAAAATACTCTCAAATCACTGCAATACTCATTTTACACTGTGAAAGAACAAGACAATAAATTGGATAATTAGATTCTCAGAGTTTTGTGAGGAGAACTGAAATTTTGCTTGGAGAAGAAACAATAAAAGTCAAGGTTCACTTGCAGAATACGTCAAAGAGTATCCTGTAAACCCTGGGTCAAACACATTGTACAGAGCGGGCACCTTGTTAATTGCAGTGCTGCTGTAATAAGGAGATGATGTAAAGGTCAGGAGAATAGTGTGTGAGAACCCAGTTTAACTGGAGAAGAGCAGACAGCTGTAGTCGGTGGAACAAAATCAGCTCTTCTGGAGAGTACTTCATCGCAGGAAACACTCTGGGGTGCTCTCAGGCGTTCTCAGGAGAAGCCTTTCTCCTTCCCCTTACTCACTGCAGCAGGAGCATAGGAAACTATATGTGCCAAAAGTAGAATGGAAGAAACACTTCTCCCCCTTCCCCATCTAAACCCCCAGCACTTTAGGATTCTCATTTAAAATGTAGGAAAGTTCAGTGTATTTTTCTTGGAAAGTCTGAGTACTTGTCATGCTTCCCTGCTATATGCCTTAACTACTTACTGGGTATTTTGGAGTTAGGGTTGCCACCTAGTCTGCTTCTGCAGTTCCAGTTTGTATAAATAATGCAAACACTAGAACTCAGGTGTTTTCTTTTCTCATGAGTTTTGCAATCTTTCTAATCTGCCGTAACAAATACTTCTGGTGTGCAGCACTGTAGATAGTTTTGAATGTGCATAAGCAACTTGCCTTCTCACATGGTGCCCCAGTTCCCAAGAGCTCCAAGGAACAGTATGTCTCTAGGAGCCTAACCTGCTGGGATATTTTGATTTTGAAACCAACATTTGTGTTATAGGTAGTGACAGTAAGAATCAGGGACTTTGATGTGCTAGGTTAGGATGAGAGGTTGAGCTCTACACCTCAGTTCTGGTTTCCAATTCCAGTCTCTGCTCAGAAGACTATACAAAGAAAAAGACCACTTACAGCAGCAATTAAGATACATCATTTCTTTTGTAACTTGAAGATTGAGAGAAATTTTCAGCATGGACTAGTTTAGGTAACTTTGGGAAGCACAAATAACTCTTTATTTAATATTTGTAAGGTAGCTGCTTCTTTGCAACTTTAGCTCCTCTTTTTGGACTCAGTAGCATTGTGTTTCACATCTTTAGACATAACAGAGGATGTGCTGTCTTCAAGGTAAATTAATGTTGATCACTGTGAACTTTCTGATCAGTCTGGCATCAGGGTAGGTAGCACTTTCTCATCTGATGTTCATTTACTGAGAATGCACTGTATAAGCACAATTTGGATTTCTAAGGTTGTATTCTTATAGCTCTTTGTAAGTAGTGATGATGGGACATGCAGGCAGCTAGTTTTCACTCCTTCAGCATTCTTCTAAGTTACAGCTTGGCCCTGAATGTGGTAAAAATAAGGAGAGAGGGCTAGAATAATTTTGCCATGGCTAATACGATCTCTCATGCTTGGTTGAGGGGGAAAATCTTGCACATTTCAAAGAACAGATTTCCCTTAAATTTAATTTCTGCCATCTCTTCACACAGGAAAGGAGGAGAAGAGAGTTTGATAGTGTGCTACCAGTTAATTAGATTTTGGTTTCTGGCTAGAGATGACAAAGTATTTTGATGTTATATATTTTGGGTGGAATCAGGAATCCAGGAATAAGAGCCTAGGTTCCTATACTGCACATGAGCTAGCACCTGAGCATGTGAAGTCTTCTGTATTCAGTCTACAGCTGTCTATTAGAAAGCTTCCCAAAGCAGGGAGAAGCTAAGATAGCTAAATCAAAGCTACAGGAAGAACCCACAGTTTACTTAGCAAATTTATGGCCAGACATGTTTTCATTGAAGTAGATGCCTGAAATAACTCTTCCAAACAATTGTGCAGGGTGTTTGAAAGAGACTAGGTGGACATTCAGAACTTTAATGTCCTTCAGAGAACAGTAACGGTTAGTATATACTGTTTATTAACCAACTGGACTGATGCTTTATCCTTCTTAGGAGAGACATTTGTATTGCCTTTTAACAAGGTTATAGGAGTTGTTCACTAGCTTCCTTAGGAAAGTGTTATGATCTAGATGTCCTAGGAACTTCTGGATCTCTGCTTGGATTTCATTAGAGCACATGGTGTAACTATTATCCCTGGATATAGTATGTAGACTGCTGGTATTTCATAATATTATTAAGATGTGATCATTCAGCTCTCCATAGTATCTACATATTGTTGTTCTCTTATTTGCCAGGTTTCTTGTCTATATCTACATAACTATTCCAAGCTACCTAGTCTGATGAATTTGAACTTCATTATTCAAGTGTGATTTACTCAATACAGCCTAAAATCATGATGAAAAAGAAGAGCATATCTGCAAGCAAAGCTTCCTTGATCCTCTTTCTGTGCCAAATGATTTCTGCATTGGATGTACCTCTTGACTGTAAGTATTAACCTGGTAAATAAGTGCAGAATAATGGAAGATTAGTTAAATAATTTCTGTATAGGAAGATGAAGATAACTCCATCATGGAGCTAAGCATGGAGTGTGCTCACTTCAGCCAGGACATTATGTTTATGAATACTTACACTACTTTACTGAAGATTTTAAAAAACTGTGCATATAAAATTGCTTACATTGTTCACTTGAGAAGGGTTAACAGGGTTCTTGCAAATAGTTCAGTATGCCTTTACTGAACACTTTATTTGATGAAAATAAAATGGTCAGAGAAGCCCAGTTAAATGCTAATTATTTGTGAAATTAAGATAATATTGGCAATTTGCTGAAAACGAGGACAATTCCTAGTTGATGTAAACAATCACCCTTATTGTTGTCTAAGAGGTTTCCAGGAGCTGATATGAGATCTAGTAAAATATTCAAATACCTAAAATTCAGACACTGGAAGCATCTTTGGTTTTGATCTGGAAGAGTAAGTTAGGCTCTCAAATTTCCTAAGCAGTGCATAAAAACAGTTAAGTACCTAACTTTAAGTTAACAGGATGTGTGCTGAGCAGGGAACTCTAGCATTAACCAGAAGAGGGAAAATCCAAAGATCTGAAATTCTTGTCTAGTATAACTGTGTTAGTGGGGAACCTTGAAGGTAGCAGTCCATGCTGAAAAGGAAGCAATGGTAACTGCTGCATTTTATAGCCCTAATAGCTAATTTTATGAAATTATTCATGCTTCAGGTTGTTATTTTCTTCTTAAGATAAGCATGATCACATTTTCAGAATTCAGTGAACCATGCTGCACCTCACAGTGACTATTCATTTGTTAAACTAATTACCAGAGAAGAGAACATTAGGACTGGTGTTAAGTTGATGGATTAATACATCAGTAAATTTGCCTATTATTCTAATCCGCATGGCTTTCTTTACTCCCATGTTTTTGATACCTTCCTGCCTTTCATAAATGCATGTTTTTCTTTAATAATCATTGACATAAATTTCAACTGCTTTGGTGTTTTTTTTACCCGTGCATATTTACAAGCCTCTCAAACCAATGACCTGTATTTCTGTAACAAGGTCAATATATATGAATCACATCAGACAACTTGTGCTGTGAATGCCTTTAGAGCAATAAACTGTGGCTTAAAGAGGTCTTTAAAAGTTTGATGAATTAATGTCTTATTTTCTAAATTTAATTTTCCTCCTGAAATATTTTTGCAGGCTAGAAATAGCATCTTAAACCTATCTTGTAGTTTAGGAGCTAATGTAAATTGTGCACCACTCTAATATCTTTTGCACAGAACAACACTTCAAGTTAAATTAATCAGAAATGCATCAACAGACAAAAATGACTAGCTCTTTTAGATTTATCACATTAACTCTCAATTAACTTGATCCCTACTACATAATTTTTAATAACTTTGTTAGGTCTGATAAGATCACATACTTGAATTTTAATCCAAAACCCAAAATTACATCTATAATGCTGTTACTGCTTTCATAAATAATGGTTAGAATGGGCTCTGGGAGAGCACCACCAGGAAAGGACATTTTCTGTGGGTCTTCCCTACCTATCCACCAGAGAGACCTGGTGGGGAGAACATACTTGGTTAGTTGAACCTTGAGGTTTCATCCAGGTTCACAGTTCCTATGCTCATCAGTGTCTCAGAGTAGGTAAGGGATGACTGACAATGTAACTGGTCAAAAGCAATTTGACTTGCTCTAAAACATTATTGATAAGGAGGCATGTATGCAAAATATTTGAAGTAAGCAATAAAGACGTGACAACTAAGATGATTTTTTTTTTTGTTTAGTCATATTTCAAACCAAAAGGGATTGCATGTCTGTTGAGTAGAATTAGATGCTTTTGTCTTTGTAAGAGCAATTCTAGCCTGAAGCATTCTCTTTGTTCTTCCATATGACCATATGGGTGGATCGATTTTGACTGCAGCATGAGGGTACTGCACTCCATTAATTCTGATTTGTTGTCTCCTCAGTATCAGTGTTTTGTGTCCTTGCAAGGCCAAAATCACATAACACAGTTGCTCTTAAAAAGTCAACACTTCAGAAAAGTTTCTCATGCCATGAACTTTGAGATAAATGTAATAATATCTGACAGAATGAAAAACGTGGCTGGAAATTCAGGCGTTGATGCATGGGTTACAGTGATAAATGTTTTCATTTTAATGGTGACCAATGTACTTGTCAGAGATACTTATCTTCCCTCTCAAAAAATGCTAATTTTCCTTTAACTAACAAATGTTTCTCTTTAATCTCCATTTGTCCATTCAACTGCTGATTCTGATGGGGGAATAAAAGCAAAACTTCTAGAAGAATGTAAGTTCCTGTCCACAAAAACTAGGCTGTGTGCTGCTGAAAATTAATACTGATTGTGTTGCAAATTGAATTTGCAGTCCAAAAATGTGTGATTCTGACATTTTGTTGATAAATTGGTTTGCTGTAGCTAGATACTTTGTGCATGTAGTGTTCAAAAAATGCTACTGTATATATATATATCAGTGTTCTGATATTTTGAACAAATTAATTGTGTGATTTTTGATTGTTTGCTATCTGAACATTAAAGTCTTAATATCAGCATGAGCAGTGTTTTATTACTACTTTCAGGAGTAAATATATTTGATAAAAAATAAATTAATTGGAATATATGTACTTATATACTATTTTACATGTCCAAGTTGGAGATACTTTTATATCCTTAAAAAACAGTGGATTCAGCTATTTAAAGTAGACCTCATCTTTTATGGGATCTCCTAACACAGCTCTAGTGTCATGGTTAATTTAATAAGTTTCAAGTACAGTGCATAGCACAGGAGCGAAGACTTCAAGTCTGTGGTGTGCATCAGATGGAATATCCTGCATGTTGGGCAGTGTTCATGTCATGTGCCTTTTCAGAGTGTGCTTGCTTTTTCCAAGCAAGCATCTGACATGTACTGACGCCCAAGAACTGCCTCTGAGAGGGAAAAGTACTGTCTTCAAAGTGCCTCTCTAAAGAAATACACAAAAAGTCATCATCATGTAAAAATGTCGCCTTGCCTTCCTCTTTTAAGCACTCCCCTCTCTGCAGTGAGGAAGAGGAGCAAAAATCACCTCTGCATGGCCTGTCCTCTTCTGCTTAGCTGCTGTATTTCATTATGATTACATAATCTGATTTTTTTTTTTTTTCCCTGGCTATTTCTTGTTGGTAAGGCTTTACAGACAGCTATCCCTTTCTGTGCAATAGAGTACTTAATATATAATGGTAGGGGAGACTTAAAATAAAAATTTCAGTTCTACAATTTTAACTGACTAGTGTGAGGCATGGCAACACAGCTAACTCTAATGATTTAAATATTTTTCTAAGGTGGCTATAAATTACCCCAAAGTACTAGCAAAGTGTATTGGTGGACAGACAATTTTCAACATTTAGACAAGGATGTTCATGGGCATGTTATTAAGCTGGTTCCTTTAGCTGACACTAAAGTATAAACAGATGAATAATGTTGAGGAAGACACTGTTCTCACTCTTAATATCATGAACAGGATTTTTTTAATGCAAAAATGGGCATAAATGATGGTAACATTATAAATTACTTTAAATAGGTAGGCATCAACTACTTGGTCAGGTGACTAAATGCTGTTCTGTGATACTCATTCTAGAGTACTTGATAAATCATAAATGTTAAATGTTTGTTTCTCCTGGGTCAATTCATAAGATTGACTATATTTTTGTTGTTTTTTTTTTAAGGAGAAACAATACTAGACTTTTCCTGCATGTTTACTCTATTTGAAAACTAGTTACTATTTTTGTCATTTTTTACAGTGTTTTATTTATAGCACATTTTTTACTCCTGAAAAGTAGCTCCTAAAAAGCTTGCTTTGTAGATTAATTCAGTATGTTGAGCACAATAAATGTGTGAAAAGTTTGCACTTATAGAGAATTTGGAAATACATAAGATGTTTAGAAATGCAAAGCAATGTGTTTCTTTTTCTTCCGTGTGGTAAAAAGCATTTTGTGTGGGTATGTGTCTTACAACTCTTCATTCAGGGTATGTTGGATTTAGAATTCAGGTTTCCTTTGCTTTTGTGAAAATCTGTTGAAATCTGACATACAGAAATGATATTCATTAAACTTTTTAGCCAAGAAATTCATCCACTGTAAATCAGCATAGCTCAGTTGGAAGTTAATATAGCTACACTGAATTACAAGAGTAGAGGGCTTCAGTCTCCTAATACAAAGGGTACTTTTAATCCCAGTCTTCTGTTGATGATTTGGTTGCTAATTACAATTCTGCTTTCTCTGCTTACAAAACTGTCTCACTGATACTTTGAAAATATTGTTAAATTCCTCTCTGTTTCTTAAATTCCATAATGAAGTGTCACAACCTCCTACGATAACTCAGCAGTCTCCAAAAGATTACATCGTTGACCCTCGAGAGAATATTGTAATACAGTGTGAAGCAAAAGGAAAGCCACCTCCTAGGTTAGTAGCATTTTGTTTTGCTTTTGTTGGCCTGACAGCATAGGAAAATTAGGATAAAATAATGTAATGTTTGTTAACTAACAAGTATGTGCATGTGTATGTGCTTGCACACCCTGAAACATGCGTGTACTCCTACCTTTGGAATTTAAAGAGCTACCAGATAGTGGCATAAATTTGACTCTTCTCATACTTGACATTTAAACTTTTCTCTAGTCATCAGACAACTGTAGTATTTTTTTTCTCCTCAAAGCTCTAACAATAAAGTAATACTTGATTATTACAAAAGCAGATGGGTAAATGTCCATGGAAAGCACTAAGAGGCATGCTGTACCGTGAACTGGATCACATTACAGATTTAGGCATAGTGTGTAAGGAGAATGGGTGTTGAATAAATTCAGAGTAACACTAATAAATACAAATTTATTGTTTTGTAAATCATTCCATTTCCCAAGGCTCATATTGAAATACATGAGCATTTTGTTGGAAGTTATGTAATGTGTATCAACTTTAACGATCAGTAGCTTTGATTTACCAAGTCTATTTTAATAGCCTTAAGTTTTGATTTTGGAAAAAATGGTAACCCTGTCAGTAGATCAGATTCCTGATCATCTTCCATTTTAAGGCTTTGTTTCAGTATCTTGAAATATTTGAAAACTACTTGTTTCAAGATACTGAGTACTTGCACTGGAAACAGCAGTAGCCATGATGCATTCTGGCATTGCTAGCAACTGCTTCTGATATCAGAGACTATGAAGAGAAATGTGCATCTCTGCTCTCAGTAGTGTTATGCTACAATTTACTAGCAAGATCAGTCTGTAATTGTTCACTCAGACACACAGACCTCATTAAATGTACTTCTTCTGAATAACCAGGGTTTCTTCTACATTGTTCCTTCTGGTTTTCTTGGAATCATGGTCACTATCATGCTGTGCAGCAGAATGGAGAAGATGGGGAGGTTATCTGTGACACTGTCACCCTTTCTAGTGTTCAGTTAATGGTAGGGGTGCCATAAAGCTGCTGCGTTTACCAGCATTTTACTTTAACGGGCACAATGCCTCAAGAGTCTGGGTGTAGACCTGGAGGATCAGATGATTACTCTGCGCTTTGGGACAACTATACTGCTTCTGCGGAAGATTCTCTTGAATGTCTTTTTTTGGGTTGGATTTACCTGAGAAAACAAGAGCACTATCTGTGAGACTGACATATCTGAGTCATGTGCCAGGACTTTCTGCTGTACAGCCTCATCTTCCCCATCAAACCTGTGTCTCACTTTGTTCCGCTGCTACAGAGGAAGTAACAGTATTTAAGTGCAGAATTTTCCAATGAGTTTTATAAGCTTATGCTTAGTTTTGCTTATTTTTAAAGAAATGACATCCAAATAATTTGTTTCATTAGTTAGTCTGGTCCATCAGTCTTGATGACCTGCAAATGCATATTGGAACTTGAGTTGCTTCAGAGCTCTGAAGTTGATGATGAACTTTCTCAGGCCGGTGTATGGATTGTTTGTTAAAACAGGGTAACCTTTTATTGACATAACGGTTTATGGATGTGTCGCTACCTATGGCTTGAGCAGCAAAGATTCTGACTTTCATGTATCTCAAATTCAGAGTTTTGTACCCCATCTACCACTTCTCATTTGAAGCTACATTACAGTTCCCTGTATCTTTCAGTGTTATTGGTAGCAGAGGATTACAGAATCCCCACGCTCTGCAGCTTCACCTGCAAGGCTGTAAGAAGCAGGTTCACTGTCGGTTCGCTCCGCACACTAGTCCCCCCACAAGCACTGCGCTGTGGGGCAGTGCTGCTGGTCAGGCCCAGTTTTTCTGCAGTCCCCCACCCCCGAGTGCAAAGAGCATCTCCAGTCCTGCCCTCCTGCTGCAGGAGGTCAGCACACAATGCGAGGTACTTAGAATTGGAGCTTCGCCAGTGCCATGTAATTTGATGCTTTTAGGAAGCTTTCTAACCAGTAAGCATATATAGTGTTTAAGATTATGAAGCTGAAAAGTAACAATTATGAGAACTGTTGTTCACAGCATTTGAACCTGTGAGCTCTCAGCACTTCACAGGTGCTGGTCTAGCTCTTTCCAACTGTACTTTTGACCATTAACAACGCATAAGTAAGAAATCGGTGTTTACAGTAGTATGAGTCACAGACGGTGAATCTCTGCTTTTTTACATTTTTTTAATGAGTTCTAATAGTCTTCATTTTTAGTAACTACTTTTCAAAACATCTCTTGCTTTGAGTAGCATCTGCATAAATTTACTAGATTAATTATGGGCTATCAAACTGCAACATTTCATTTAAAGAACCATGGTTGGTTGTGTTATGAGTAGCGAAAAAAAATCAAACTCACCACACAGTCTTTAATTCACTTGCATAACTTTAAAATGGCCAAACCAATTAAAAGAAATGATCTCCTGCAGGGACCTGAGATGACGTGTTTCAGCCCAGAGCAAGTTTTCAAAGGCAGGTTTATAAACCCTTTCAACAATAGGTTTTATAATGGAAATGCTAATGCGGCTTTAGCAATATCAGTTCTTGCAGATGTTACTGTATCATCTGTGTTAGAAAGAAAATCAGTTCTTTTCCATTTCTGATTAACTTCAGAATCTTTTAATGTAATTTAAAAAAAAAAAAAAATACAGACTTGAAATGGCTCCTGTTAAGAAGTTCAGCCAAGCCTTTTATCTTAAAGGATTGCTAGATTTCTTATACTAAAAAGAGCTCTATTACTTTATTAGTTAATTTAGTTTGGGCACAAGTCTTACTTATCTGCCAAAGAAAAAATATCATGTATTATTGAAAATTACTTTTTTCTTCTTTCTCTCCACAAAATCTACAAAAGGCAACTGAAGAAAAAACTTTTATTTTTGTTTTTATTATTTTAGTTTCTCCTGGACACGCAATGGAACTCACTTTGATATAGATAAAGATGCACAGGTAACCATGAAACCAAATTCAGGGACCCTTGTCATAAATATTATGAATGGTGGGAAGGCAGAAGCATATGAAGGAGTATACCAGTGTACAGCAAGGAATGAACGAGGAGCAGCCATTTCCAACAATATCGTTATAAGGCCATCTAGTAAGTGAAGTTCTTAATATTCATAAAATGTGAAACACTTTGGTTTGGATATTTTCTTATTAATGTTTTGCTTTTTTTTTTTTTTTCCTGTCTTAAAAATTTAATCATGAAAGTGAAGGTATTGCGTAGTTTCAGATATTCAGATTTAATAATGTATTGCATGTTCTTTCCAATATTCCTTAGATAATTTAATAACAAAAATGCTTTCCTGATTTTTTTGGTTCATCTGGATGACCTATCATGTTTAAAAATTAGTTACCTAGATGATGCTACAATTAGAATAAAATGTTTAATTTTTTAGTGCGCATCACTGATGAGGACAATTTTTATTCTCTTTCTGATGCATGTATTCCATAGTTTTTATAATAGCTTTAATATGGAACAGATTGGGACCAAAGAGAAGATAAAACTAAAAAAATTTGATTAATGGTAAACTGTTTCTACAGCTTTTTGTGTGATTTTTATCTCAGATTAGTTTTTCAAGCTTCTCAACTTAAAAGCGATGTTTTCACATGTTTTAATAAAACTGTGTGTGTGATACTGTTTCAGAAAGGTCTACGTTTTTTTCTAATCTAGTGCATCACTTTTTTTTTTTTTTTTTTTTGCATTACCATAGTTAAATATTTTTCAAGATACTGTTATAGAACCTTAAGTGAGTAGCTGGAATCATTTGAATCAGTTGATTATACTTTCAGCAAATCATTGCTGAACAGTATGTTTTCATGAAAACCTACTTCTCTCCCAAGAAAACATAAAAAAGAACAAAAAGTAAATCCTTAGTAAACTTAAAAAGACTTAACAACCTGATGCATGTAGTTCTGTTTTTCTGGAATATTATGTGCATTTCTCGCTTAAATTCTGGAATTTTTGTCAATCCACAGTTTGTATGTGTGTTAAAATTATTTTCTATAGGATCTCCTTTGTGGACAAAAGAAAAACTAGAACCAAATCAGGTTCGAGAAGGTGATTCACTAGTACTACACTGCAGACCTCCTGTTGGCTTACCACCACCTATAATATTTTGGATGGATAATGGTGAGTTTGGTTTTTATGCAGAGTTAGTTTACTTTTCACAGTTTTTCTACATACTTGATCATTGCTTACCAAGACCACAGATTGTGGAGTTTCCCTCTAAGTTAAAATTCAAATAATTTCCATTTCTGTAGAAATGAAGAAACAAACAGTCATGCAGCCCAAAACCACGAAGCCAGAAGAAGCTGAAGATCTTAATGTAGGTTTTAGATTAACCCACTGGGGAAGAATGGGAAGACAAGGGAGCTCGAGAAGAAACTTAGAAAGATCTATATATTTAGAAACCCACAAACAGTGAAATTGAGCAAATGTGGAGTCTACAGATGGTAATAATGGAGTTTGTATTATAATTGAGATAAATGTGTTCTTGTTTTCCCTTAGCTTTCCAAAGATTGCCTCAAAGTGAAAGAGTTTCCCAAGGTCTAAATGGAGACCTATATTTTTCTAATGTACAACCAGAAGATAGCCGGGAGGACTATATCTGCTATGCAAGATTTAATCATACACAAACTATACAGCAGAAACAACCCATTTCTGTAAAAGTTTTTTCAAGTAGGTATTACATTACCTATTTACATACTTATGTAGTATTTATCCAGAATTCTCAAGGTATTTGTCAAAGTTAAGTAGTGTTACACTAGGGAACTTTGTCATTTTAACTCTGTTTAAGAAATTACATACTGTATAAACTTAAAATGCAGTTTTTCCTGACATATAATTAATTATAAAAGCTGTAATTTTTTCCCTTTGTAAGGGTTTGTCTTTTGAAAAAATATTTTGTAAAATTTGAAAATTGAAAAAATACAGTGAAAAACATAATAGTTTTCAGGTGGTTTTCATGTCCAAGAATATCAAGTTATTATTGTAACTATTGAAACAAATTAATCAATCATTTGATTAACTCGCTGTGGCCATATCATCATCTTTTGATTCCCGGTACTTTGATTTATCCCTCTTGTATGCATTCTTCATGATATTCTGTTTATTTCAGTGGATTCATTGAATGACACTATAGCTGCTAATTTGAGTGACACTGATATTTATGGTGGTGAGTTATACTGGTCCCCACTGATACTCCCTGTTTCACAGTAGCATTTAGTTAACTAACTTCACCTCCATGGCTACTTAACCTTTTGCTCCCTTTTCAGTTTCTAATAAAGGTATCTATTAGTGCTGGTGATAATACATACTTTAGAAAGGGACTGCACAGTGTGATCCTTTCATATATTTAATGTTTCAATGTTTTGGTAATTTATGGCTCATAAAAAGTATAAACTCTACAATAAATGAGTCCTTTCACACTGGGGCAGATTTTAAAAATTGTCTATTTGATGCCTTCTATACTGTGTTGCTTTTTTATATTTTTCTTCCAATTTACCTAGTAGTTTGATATGTTTATTATCACTAGGACTATTCAGTATCACATGCTGCATAATAAATAACAACAGTTAAGCATTTAACAGATGCAGTTCACATTTAATAGCTTATTGAATGTACCATTAATTTTTAACATATCTCATGAGTGTAAAACTGGAATTAATTAAAATCTAAACAGCTTAATACTATATGTATAAATAACTTTATAGCGGAAAGATGAGTTTTGCTTGTGTGGTGTTTAAGCTGATCTTTACGTTAATCTGTGTTGAAAGGTGTTTTGTATATTGTGAATTAAATCCTCCCAAACGGGTGTATGTGTGTTTAGCAAGGCTGACTTTGGAGCAACACTGATACTGTAACACTTGAGGTTCTAGATTCTCCGCTTGATATTGTGTGAGATAGAAAATACATTCTATTTATTCTATTTTGGTCTTTTTCCTTGTTGAATGAGGGTTTGTACATGTTAAACCATAATTTATGGCAATCTAAAATAAAACGGGCACAGAATATTTTAATTCTCTGCATAAAAATGTCATTCAGGAACAAACAAGAAATATGTACCTGAACAGAGAATGATATATTAGCTACAGTTAGTGAGGAAAACACCATTTGGTTGGTTCACAACTCAGAAATAACAGAGGTAATTCTTCTGGATTTTCATAGTCTTGCAAAATGAGTCAGCAGTCCTTAGCAGTGCCAAAACAGGGTAGGTTAATTATTCCATGTGACTGTCAGCTGCCTTCTTGACTCTAGACTGCCATTTTCTCTCAACTTTAAGTTGTTAGTGTACTAGTTTTTAAGGAATTCATAGCACATACTGTATTTAAATTAAGTGTTTTATTTATGTTAATCTATCCATAAATCCTGTACCCTAATTAAAAAAAGTTCATTATGTTTCTGCTCACATTTTTAAAAAATACAGTAATTTACCATAGTAATTCAGACTACTACTGCACTTTAGAGCAATTTATTCCTATATTTTAAAATTGCTATAAAAGAACATTACAGAAAGCACTCTTATTCTGACTTCCATGAAGGCACATAAAATTCCATAATACTTCAAAAGCCAACACAGTATAATGTCAGAAATGGGTCTTATATTTATAGCTGTCTGTTTACTGCGGTTATTTCTTGTGGGTTAATCAATAGTTCTTTATTACCAGACTGGGGAACAGCTTGAATTAAAGTTAAATATATAGTAAGAAGAGAATGCAAGGCTTAACTTCTGAAAAGACTTCTCACATCATCTAGAAAATATTGAGCAAAGCGTATTGCAAAGTGGAGTGTATCTTATATCCCCTTGGTTTATAATTCTGAATACAACAACTTTGCTTTATTTGTGTTTTGATGGAAGCCCAGAAATTTTTGGTAACTTTCAGTCTTGCACTGTTACTCACATCAGTGACCTCTTACCCTTCTTAATAGTTCTGAAGTAAGTAGGGGGTACTTAGGATTAAGACTCACCATCCATCCATCAGGCTGCATAGTTGCCTGTGTAAAAACTATGTATCAGTTGCTCCCAGCTTTAATAATATTTTTCATGTATGTGTTCAAAATGATAGCATTTAACAGGTTGAGATATGATATGTCTGTCAAAAACCTACTTTGTTGAGCTGTGTAGTTGTGTAACACATTGATTTTTAATTAGATGGCTAATGTGGAGCAAAGTCTCTGTCCAAAATGTGAGAAAGCATGTATGCATTTGGTCAATATTAAAAGAAAATTCAGAAATGAATTATTTTCTTTTTTCTTGTTCCAGCGAAGCCAGTTACAGAGAGACAGCCAATTCTTCTAACACCAACAGGTAGCACAAGTACCAAAGTGGAACTCAGAGGAAATGTACTTTTTTTGGAGTGCATTGCAGCAGGATTGTGAGTTACTCTTCAGACAGTTTTTCTAAATAAAAGTACAGGAGCAGAGGGAAACATTTCAGAGATGCTTAAAATGTTACTACTGTATAAGCTTAAGTATTTCAGGGAAACAGAAATGTAAAATGGAAAGAGCTCTTTTAAGGAAGTCTATCATTTACTTGGTCATCAGCAGATTTTAAAACTGAGTGGGAACAAGGATATGGTCTCTGCCTTCTCATGTGCCCAAGTCCTACGCATAGGAAATCAGGTTGTACCATTTTTTTTTGAAGGACACAAACAAGAAATGCCATGGGGTAAACTGGGACACACATCTGCAGAATTGCACTCAGGAATCAATCTCTGGTTTTGTCCTAAATTTACAATCATTAGGCTCTCAAATTATATAAAAATAGATAAGAATCTACTGGTGTAATCTGAAAAAGCTGCTTACATATGCTAATAATTACTTAGTAGATCAGCTAGGTGGGAGTTAGAACATACCTTCAGCTCCTTACATCCAATTTCTCATTGTAATTGAGTTTAATTGGTACTTGTTTCTTCGATGTAATGCAAGTTTGCTTCTGCTGGTTATTGTGCAAGTAGAAAATGACTAAAGAGCAATTTAGCTTAATGAATTAGTTTGATCTTAAATCAGTTTCATTCTCAGGAAGAAATCCGAGAATAGATTGGTTAGTGCAGAAGCGGAAAATCTTTAGTACCTATTTCAGGAACTGTAAACATGTTTACAATGCACAAAAGCATATAATGCAGAGTGCTGTGAGGCAGCCATGAGGAAAGCAAATAATTGCAAGGGGTGCAGCACAGCATCATGCACGTGTGTTCACTTGCATAAGCTCCGTAACATGGAGTTCATGCACAGCTTGACACAGCTTGATACAAGCATCAGTGCAGTGTTTCTGTCTCAGCTATGGTCTGCTCAGGTGTTTCCATCAGCACCAATAGCAAAACCACGCCTACGAGTGGGAGTAGCATCAGCTCACGTAATCTTCATCTGCAATATAGATACGTGCTTTTTGACAACCACGCAATAAAAATATTCAGTGATCCAAACTCCAGTAAAATGGCTGGATAAAAACAGGGGAAAAGATGGCTACTTTACATTATATGGCTTTGTGTCTTTAGCCATCATCTATTTTTTTTGGTTTTTAAATAATTCAATGAGGGAAGCTTACATAGTTGTCCACAAAGGACCAGCTTCAGATTTGATTTAAAACAACTATTCCTAATTACTGATACCATAATTAAAAGTCAATTTGGTTAGGTGTCTCTGTTATAAAATATCTGATATTAGACTGCTAAGCGAATATTTTCCTTGAGTCATTACTATTTGAGAGAGGACATTCTACTCAGTAAGCAACACCTTGTAATTTCTTGTAATTTTAAAAGTATATCTTCATGTGTTTGAACAATTTGCAACTTCAGTGGACAACATGGAGCACAGCCAAGATTTAGACATGGTGCAGTGACAAGTAGCTATACTTGACTCAGCACTGATGGTTTTTTCTTGATTTCTCACAGGAAATATTTCTGTTTCCTTACAGCTCTGCTGTTTTAAATGTATAACATTTGTGAAGCATTAGGATATTACTCACATGAAGGACAATTATAAACTTATTATATAGAAGCTAACTTTTAAAGCACCATGAGCATCAATTTAAAAGGGCAATAAGATTTGAAATACACTTGTATTCATTTATTAACCATCAGGGGTTTTAGATTAATCAGCAGACAAATGCGTTCTATAATTATTAAGCCTATGAACAGATGGCCACTGACAGTGTTAGTGAGACTTGTCATTTCCTAGAAACAAATGCTGGCAGATTTTGCACATTTGCTGGACATGCCCCAGAATCTGGATAAAGGCTCTTAAAATAATTATTTGTAAAATATATGTTCAAAAAAATAATGTATTGAACTCTCATCTTCCTTTTCTCCAGTCCCTTAATTCAATCTGTGCTTTTGCTTCTCTAGACCCACACCAGTAATCCGCTGGATTAAAGAGGGTGGGGAGCTGCCAGCCAACAGAACATTTTTTGAAAACTTTAAGAAAACTCTGAAGATTATAGATGTTTCTGAAGCTGACTCTGGGAACTACAAATGTATAGCAAGAAATATATTAGGTTCTGCTCATCACGTCATTTCAGTAACTGTGAAAGGTAATACTAAAATAATACTTAATGTAATATTGTCACTGTCCAGAATGCAAGACTGAAGTAAGATTCCTAGGATAAAATATAGCTGAAAGGATCAATGATAATAGTAAAAAAACCTCTGAGGAAGTAATCTTTAGATTCAGCCACTGACTGAATTCTACTTCTGGAAGGACTTCACTGTCTCCTAATCTCTTTTTCTTTTTTTAATGTTATTTTGTAAAGCATCAGGCTAAATTGAGATTGTACTGTAACAGTAGTAAAATAATTTCTTAGCTTGTACCAGTGCTACGTTTATTTTAGATCCTTTGATTATCTGTCATTAAACTGCTTCTTTCCCTTGGTTTTGTATCTTCCTCCCCATCTCTCTATATCTCTTTCTTATTTTCTCCATCTTTTCTGCTCTCCATTCGTATAGCCCAGATTCCTTCTCTTTGCTTCTCTATTTTACTATTGTCTTATGGTCTTATATTCTTATATTCTTTTTTCTCTCTTAAATGATTTTTCTGGTTTTCTATCTTCTTCATGTTTTTTACCCTAGATGATGTCTTAATAGTTCTAAAAACACTTACAGTATATTTGTCCAAATAAGAATTGTAAATAGGTTTTGAATACCATGAAACAAAAAGAAAAATGGAATGACAGCTAATTAGTCATTGAAATAATCAGCTGTGCTCCTTACTTTGCATGCTAAATAGTCACTTATTTTGTTGTAGACCACCATCATCTTATAATAACAGTCAACCTCATTTTAAAGAGCAGAAGTTTAATCTTCTGTTTGCATCTGTCCATCAATCCAAAATACGAAATTTAATTGCACGATGTGATAACATATGCTATTTGTGGTTATTTGTTATAAAAGAGATGGAGACATAGATGAATATCTTTCGGTAAGGACAGTGTTCCATCCATTTTGATCTCTCTGTTTTCAGCTGTCTCAGGTAAACATCTTGCCCCACTGCAGTCACCCAGTGAATTCAGCGAGACTGAAGATTTTGCCATTTCTAAATTTCACCCTTGAAATTTAATCTTTTTATGTAATCAAACCTAAATTCATTTCTAACAACCTAGCTATTGTGATATTTCTGAAATTAATCAAAAGACCACTAGTCTCTGCAGATGCCATGCTCAGATAAATTTTGCTTTCTTTAGGAAAGGCAAATTAGATTCAAAGCAGACAACCCTAAATGAAATAAAGAACCTCTTGTTGCTTATCTCCAATCTTATATGCAGCAGGTAGCCAATAGCTGAGTTTAGCCAAAGTATAATCTACCAGTTAATCATTGAGTACCACATATATGCATCTATATATTAAAAAAAAAAAATTAACAGTGTAAGTCTATATCTATACATACCTTGTTTGAATTAGTTTCTGATTACCATGACTGTGCCTTATGATTTTCTGTACATAACTTTGGAAAACAATTGCTGTGTTTCTTTTCTTAACCCCAGCTGCCCCGTACTGGATAACAGCACCCAGAAACTTGGTCTTGTCTCCTGGAGAAGATGGGACATTGATCTGCAGAGCTAACGGCAACCCAAAGCCTAATATAAGCTGGTTTGCAAATGGCGTTCCCATAGCAAGTAAGATTCTTTATTACGGTATGGGAGATTGAGTAAGAGAACATGAAGAACATCAGGGTGTTTTTTTGAAATATAAGTGAAGAGTGTGTATTTGAGTAGTTTTTTTCCTGACAAGTAATACTAAATTATAAATAAGGTGATAAAAATGCTGTGGTTCATTGAAGTGGAACAACAATATGTGCCTCTAATGTGCTTGAAAAACCTGTGACACTACTACTGGTTATTCTGTCTGGTGTTCTGCTGGTAGTATCCTTGTGAAGATGAGTCCATAGTAACAAGGCTGCACCATGCCCTTTTTACAGGGATATTGCCGGGGTGTAATGTTTACCATTGTGTTGCGTGGCAGTCGTGTTGCTAGATCTCTCCTTTGCTGCCCCACTGCAACACAAATTTTGTCTAGGAGTCATAAAGATGACATAGAAAGTCAAGTCTTCACATCTGTGGATGTACAGAGCACTTTTGCAGGGCAGGCACAAGATAGCTGTTATATATAGCACAACTTTGTTTGGGAAGAACTTGCTGGAGGACACTGCAGTGTTTTGTCAGTTGAGTTTTCACTCAGTGTAGCCTGTACCATAAAATCACACTTGGTTCTTCTACCTTTATCCTTCCTCTTTCACAAAATGAAATTATAAAAACCTACAACCTACTCTGTTAACTCGTAAGAGATAATGTGCTCTAAAATATTAGTCTGTGCTGACCCATTGAAAGTATGACATTGTGAGTTTCAGGAAATGTTTAAGTCTGTTAATGAAGTAAACGACATGGAGTTTGGGACGTGGAGGAGAATGCAGTGAGAATCTAGGAAATAGCAACAGGTGAATGAGAACTCTGATTAGATATATTCAAAATATTTGGGATATGAGAGATTAAACTGAACTGGAGGGAAAATTATGCAACTTTGGGGCAAAAAGTAAAGGTATATATTGAAACAGAAGTATTTAGCAAAGAACCTGTTTCAGGGATCCTAAATAAATATAAATTGAGATCTCTAGCCTGAGATATAAAATGAGAAGTTTCCATTGGTTAAATAGGTTATGTATAAGCTGACTAATGACCTCATCAAACAGTGGTATTAGGAAAATAGGAGTATATCAATGAAATTTTATATTGTATATGTTGTACATAATTATATCATAATGCATGCTTTGTAATCAAAGTTTGGTACCTGTCCTGCTCTTTCTTTTCTGGGTTTTCGGTGGTCTCATCTTCCTTACTGTTTTCTATATGGTTACCATTAATGTTTTTTTGTTTGCTTTGAGATTTTTATCCTGCTATTCTGCTAGTTTAGCTTCTCTTTTCAGGCCTACTGACTAGTAAAATCTTTTTCAACTGTCTATGAGATTCACCTTTGCCTCACACTGCTTCGTTGTCAAAGCTGTAGGACATGCTGTTCAAATGACAGACAAGTACATTTTCCAGAAAAGCAGTGATGTGTTCTGCATTCTTGCAGGGTAGCAGCAAAACATTAAGAAACAGAGTTTTCAGAAGCAGCTACAGAGTGACACCGAATTTCCCAAATAAAAGTACAGCATATATTTGCTGGATGACATTGAGGAATCAGTACAGAGTCTTAATGAAGGAAACTCAGTAAAAATTAAGAGACTAATTAAATTACCCACTCCAACCTCAGTAGGGAAAAAAAAAAAAACAAAAAACCAGAGGAAATAAATAACTGGGTACCTCAGGCTTATGTTAAAAGTCACTTTCACTGCTGAGAAAAGCTGAAATTTTATCCACCTTAAATATTTAAGTACAAGTTAGTTGGATGCTCCAGTACATTAAGTCTATCAGGGCCTCTAAAGAAAGAAGCATCAAGATCACAGAAAGTGCAGTTCTTAAGATACTTGTGATTTTGTATTATTCTGAGTTATCAAAAGCTGGTCTGGAAACTACCAAGTACAGTGTGCTGTTTTGTTCACTTGCTACTAAATTACAGAACTGAGCCCCTCTTCTTCCAACTGAATGATTAGTAAATCACTGTAAAAGGAAACTAAAGCAGCTGTTTCAGCTTCAGGGCAGTGCTGAGAGAGCTACACCCATGGCAGGATTTCAAAGAAAAAGAGCTACATTTGAATTTCAAAGCCCTGCTGTCATCATATATCCCACAATGTGCCTCCTGTGGCCCAGTAATCTGTTTGCAATACTTTAATTTTCTATTGGAAAGCACAACTGGGAGATGCTTAATTCTTCCAGTTTTGTTTTTTCATAATAGAGTCAGACAAGGAGGGGGGAATGATGAAGAAAGAACCATTCGTCCATATCTCAGTCAGAGGGTGAGGCTTAAGTATCAATAGGGAAAAGAAGAATTAAGATAAATGAAGTGTGTCTTAAGTACCTATGAAAAAAAAAATGGTGTAAATTTTGTTCCAGATTGTATTAATCAGAGTAAAAAGAGATTTTTAAGGGAAGATTTTAGGATTCTTTGAAATATTTTAATTAATTTTCTTCAACAATAAAACTTAAAAGAAAAACTCCAGCATGTCTGAAAAGAAAGCTGCTTCAGACATGCTGGAGTGATAAGGACCTAACCTCCTAATGTTTACTCACAGGAGTAATTTGAACTCACGTGCACAGTCCCGCTGAGGTCAATTAGAATTACTTTGGCAAGTAGCAATTGAAAGTTCAGGCCATGACTCTGCCTTGCCTTGTGCCTCAATTAACACTCAAGATCTGCATTATTTATACCGCTGCATAATCCGTTGTGTTTTACTGCTTAGATATTCAGCATGGTTTTACAGAAGGGAAACCATGCATAAAGTGTCTCAACTTTTAAGAAAGTAACAACCCAGATTAATTGAGAAGGGGAAGCACTTTCATAATTGGACTTCAGAAAGGCATTGCAAATACTGCACAAAAGACTAATTTGTTGGTTCAGTGGTTTATAGTTCATGATGAGCTATTAAATATTAAATACACACACTTTGATTTATACAAAGTAGTGCACTGAAAGGCACTGTTTATCTTCTTTCAACATGTTCTTCACTTGTTTATATCACATTTCACATTGAATCTTAGGTTTTAGTTAGTCTCCATTAGTAATCACACTGAATTTAAGGGAGAAACATTAGCCCTTAGATTTCCTTCATGAAAGGCCTTGGTAATCCCTGGCTCAGAGATTCGTCATCCATCGTGTTCCCTGTGAGTACACACAGAAGCTGTTTGCTGCAGCCATGGGAGGATGAGGAGAAATCTGCTGGACTCTGATGCCCCGAGGAGTTCAGTCTCTGAGAGGCGAGGAGAGAGCAGCCATTTATCCACTGCTTGTGCTGTCATTGTGTTGGAACTGTGCGTCTGGCCTAGGAACTGCAGCAGATATGAAAACCTTTAATAATCAGGTTTTTTTATTCTGCACAAAATAGCCAAAGGACAGTTGTGGCTAGTGCAAGTAATAACCCTGTGGAGGTAATAGTGCTACCAGAATGAGAAACTCGGAAACAAGGATTTCAGTCATCACAGGAAAATATTTTGCTGAGGAGCAAGTGAGATTGGTAAGAAGAGGAAAAGGGCATCTTCCTCCGTGTACCATCTCTTCCAGAATTAAGTCTTTGTCAATTCACTGCAAGGGATAGAGTAAGGCAAAACTGGATTGCTTAAATTTCCTTGGGTTTCTTGCTTCGGTTCAGTCTTGGTTTGACCCTACAGGTTTTCAAGTGTCTGATGCACTGTACTGCCCACCCTTCCTATTTCACCAGCAGTTTTGTGTTCAACTCTGAAAGCACAGCTTCCAGCCCTGTCCCCTCAAAAAAGAACAAAAGAGGATTCTAGTCATGTAACATTCTCTAAATACATAATAAAGTATTTAGGCAATATGGTCAGAGATGTGAGAGAATGGGTCTTTCTTTCATAATAACCCTTGATCTGGGCATTCAGATATTATGAGTAAAGTCAGCTACATCCAGAGGAACGTTAACTGGCTGCTCATTCATAGACCACATGGTTTCTAATCTACAGAAAACCAGGAGGACCCTCCATAAGGGACATATCTTCTTATCAAGCCACCTCAATGACTACACACTATATGTTCCTCCCAGTTTTCTTGGCTGGTTGGTTGAAAATGTTAAGTCCTGGTTCTGTCACGTTCTCCTGTTGTCGTAGCTAATCTATCTGAAAATAGGTGTCCAAAATTATACAAATAATTCTTAAAAAATCCCATTTCAGTCATTCAATTGTAGTTAGTTTTAACCACAGAAAGACTTTTCTAGTTTTGAAAATGGTTACTATATTCATAAATTACTTATAAATATGAGGTTTTGGAATAATATGTAGGTCATGAAAAATGATAGGATACTTCTAGTTACTATAATACAAATGATCCTCTGATCCTGTCAGAACTTGAAAAGCGTACATGAGCATCACTATACAAGGACCATATGTTTCTACATTCGTATCAGAAAAAAAGCACCTAACCTTCTGTCTTGGCTTTCTTCATGTATTTCCACAATAACAGGGTTTTCAAACTATCTCTGAGGTTAGAGTTGTTGAAAATCATGGCTTAAGGGTCAGTATTGATCTCATGCTCACATTTACATTCAATAGTATTTCTTCATAAACTTAAAGACAGAATTTAGTAATAGTAGAATGCAACAACAAATGTTTAGTATAAAAATCTGTCGCAGGAGAAGAGTCAGAGATCACTCAGACAGAGCTGATATAGTAGTTAGTTTATTGAGTTCTAGTGAGTAAACTTAGGTATGTAAAGCATTTAGTAAGTACAGATGGATTGGTGGTCAATACTACACTTAGAGTCAGTAGGGATACAAAGATTATCATGTAAGTTTACTATAAGTGTCTTAAATGTTGCATGCATGCAAAAAAATGTCACTTACCAACCCATTGATGTCTGCTGTCAGGTAAGGGATCTCTCAGCCTTGAGGGGTAGCCTTGAGAGGCGTCCCTACTCAAGGGGGGATCACCACCAGATAGCCAGCTGCTATAGAGGGAGAGCTCAGGTGGCCTTAATGGCTGTAGATATTTACAGTGTAAAGAGGTTGATTTGT